GGTAGTCGACAAGCCTGCAACAGAAAGGTCAAAAGAAAAAGCAGCAGCAGAAGAGGTCTGCTGTCCCTTCAGGGACATGGAGGGACAAGTCCCCCATGACCCTCAAGGACACATCTTTGAGGTCATGTCTGTCAGTTTCAATAAAGAAGCTGCCATAAGCCTGTGGGGATGTTAGGTCTTTTTTGTGGCATTTGAAATCTCTGAACTGGTTTGGAACCAGTTCAGTGGTGTGCCTTGAGACTTAGAGTCAAAGGAGCAGAAGTATGTCTTTTTCTGAGAGTGATATTTACAGAAATACTCTTGTATTTGCACTGCTTGTTAAGCCACAGAGCTCCTGAAGAAAAGTTGCTATTTTGTCAGTCCTAGCTGAACAAAAGCCCAGCATATCCTCCTTCTATCTCCATGCAAAAGCTGGGCTGATAAGCTGACTAATATGATCCTGGAGAACTGTATGTTACTCCTCCCTAGATGTTTACGATTTGAGCATATGAAAAGCAGAGAATAAGCTTGCCCACAGATATATCACAAAGGCCAAAATTTATCCAGTCTTAAATAAGAGGATATATGTTCACCCACTTCGTAAATGTCCACCTGGACCATCTTTGTTGGGACAGTCTTACTTTGTTCTTTCCTGTATAGCCTGCACAACCAGAGACTCAGATACGTGCTGCAGGTTTCAACAGGCCATCACCCATGGTATAGGATTTTTAAGCACTAAATGTCATTGTAGCGAGTCTCAAAGAGATATCTAAAAGTCCATCCTGCATTATATTAATTCTTAGAAAACTACATATTCATTCACCTGGTAGGCAAGTTCAAGGTCACACCAAGGAAGACAAAACTACCATAAACTGAATTAAATGTTTGAAAATGCAGCTCCTTCTCTGTGCTCTGTCATCTCTTCAGGGTTCAAGCCAAGCAGAAGAGCTGCTCTGGGAAGTAAATCTACTTCACAGAGGAGGGAATGGAAAGAAAATAATCTCTAAAGTATAAACAGTACAAAACTTACAAATATTAACCCAACACAGCAGTTGCAGTAACTATGATTACGACTGATTTTAAACAACTGAGTTATAAAATCCATTTGCAGACCCCTTCTCCTGCCACACAGTATTTCTTATGATTAACCATAAGACACTTGATTTCTAAGCTTTTTCAAAGCAGAGGGCATTTATTTCCTCTGAAGAAAGTCAATGCTGCTTATCCAAAAGAGGAGGAAAATTGTGTTTGGAGTCTTCCCAAATATTAGCTGAACAAATAAGCACAGCCACACACAAAAAACATAAATAAATAAATAAAAATAAAAAATAATCTTTGTTCTTCCTCTATCACAGGTCAGTTATCACGTAGTGCATGGGGAGCTGCCAAAAACCACTGCTATGTTCAGACACTACAACTTGCATTTTATTTGCCTGCAGCTGCACTGCACAATGAAAGGAGTGTTACCCTCCCCTCCCCAAGACAAAACATGACCTCCCTCCAAAGCAAGGGGTGATTGATTCACTGCTTGCTTTTTTTTTCTTTCAGAGTAAATGTTACTTATCTTTTGTCCAAATGTTATTTCTCTAAAATGCTTCGATTGCAAAGAATTGATTTTATTTCTTTTTAATTCCTTTTCATCCTGATCTACCAGCACAGATAGACAGATGTGACAAACAGAATAACGAAGCACAATTTAATGTTTTTCAAATTTGCCCAGCATGGCCCCTACTTTCTTTACTGACATTCTCCCCTTGCCTGCAGTTCTAACAACTTAAAATGAGACTTTAATGCAAGATTTATTTTCAATGAAATGAGAAGAAAATCCTGAAGCTTTGTAGAACTCACTTTTTGCATCAAATTTTCAGCCATAAAGCTGAAACACAGTTCTCTAGTCTCCAAATTTCTAGTATTTGCCCTATTTCTATTTTCTCAAATAAAGGTGCTGCTAATCAGCATCACTACAGGAGCTTTGAACTGGGAAGATTCCAAAATTTAAAATGTGATGCATGTGATTTCTTCAGCAATCTGGAAAATGTATTTTGGTGCCTACTGGGTATCAGTAGTGGTGCCAATTGTCATGTTAATTTTTCAGATCTTTGTTGTTCACGATCTTCTTTGTCTTTTATTTGCCCTCTGGTTGACCAGTAAACTTCCATTACTTTCTTCAGCTGGATTTTAGGATGACCAGAGCCTACAGGTTCTAGTTCACCACCTTTAATCCACACAAAAATATTAACAGTTCATAAAACAAACTACGCAGTGGCCTGTGTCAATGAATCCAAATAGAGACCCAATAGTAAAGGGTGGATTTTAAATAATTCTTGTTTCAGCATCAGAAGTTGCAGAAATTTAGTATAGCTCAGTTTTCGGCACAACACAAAAAAGTTTTTCAATTAGAATATACAGATTAAAACCTGATCTGTCTGAACACACCAGGTTATAATCAAAGGGAGGAATAAAAAGACTGTTGTGCATGAAGGCAAAAGTTTAAGGGCAGCATATTTGTTTTAAATGACAATACAATTCTGAACTGTCCTGGAAGGTCTGAAAGACAGCACTTGGACAAAGCAGAAAACAGGCTGTACACTTTAGTCAGAAAGTGCACTCTGGAGATGCAAAAAAAGGAGTAGTAAATCACAGTTTACAAGCTTTAGGAGAAAAACATTTACGTGAGAGGAGCTACAGGCTTCTAAAGTTGAAGGTAGAGGGCAGAAATAGCTACCTGTGCAATCAAAAAAGAACAGGCATCTGTTTCAAATAGAACTTTTCTCTAACACCTGAAACACGTGCTAGCTCAGAACATCAAGTTCTCATGACTTCCACAGATAAAATGAGACCTGAACTTCCTTTGGTGTTTTCCCAATCTCTGCTTTTTTTGTGGAAAAATGCTAAAGAGAAAAAGAAAATGCAAAGCTCAATCTATAGAAAATCCCAAACCGAGGTTTACATTCTAGGTCTGGAAAACCTAATAAAAAATTCAGTTAAAGACATCAATCACAAAACTTTAATCAACTGAATTTGTGCTCATTTACTCTAGGCTATAAAAAAAAAAAAATCCACATTGAACCACAAACCTCAAATAAAAGTATTGTCAGCTGGATGCTCCATAAAAATATTCCACACTTGCTAGTTACAGAAACTGAAAAAAAAATTATTAATCTTTGGATTTAAACTCCTCACAATTTAACTGTTCATGCTAAAAGAACTGTTTCCAACAATTTCAAGGCTGAAGCAAATTAAAATCTCTGCATGTGACTCTAGTTAGCAGTAGGCAATACATATTTTTATAGAGATATGTTTTATATTGCTGTTCATGAAGCTCAGAGACAGGTTTACAAAACAATTCAAACTGCAGTTTATAATGGTAGTGTTATCCTCTGTTGTGCTATCTAGGAGCACAAGTCTTCAAAACCTTTACATCTAAAAGCCTGGGCCCTTATTTTCTAATTTGAAGTGACCAGGTGCTTTTACTTGAAAGCAGAAGCAAACAAACGTCAAAAAATAGGCTTGCCACATGAAGAGACAAGATCAAACTGTCTTAATATGGATTGCAGGAGTCTCAAGAAAACAAGTATGAAAAATGAGTAAAAAGAAAACCTTTAGCACTGCCTGTAAATGAACCAATGAAAGATCATTTTAAAAGGTTAAGTAGAGCAAATAAGAAAATGTGAAAAAACAGTGTAAGAGTAAATGGAAGTAAACCAACCTCACTGACATTTAACATTGACACAAATGTCAGATTCCCCACTTCTTGGTTAAACACGGCTGGGATCTCAATCAATGTTTGGAGTGTGCATGACCAATTTTGAAACCGTAAGGAAAGCATAGCACAAAAATTAAAAATCTGTAAGTGTTTCTAAAAAGATGAATAGTCAAAAAATGAGACTATGAAGCCTTGGAATTAGGGCTGTTATGAAAATATTAATGACTTATTTATGGTTAAACTGTACGCCTGAACTTCCATTCCTGCATGATGTCTGCTGTAACAGAACATAACCTAAACCCTCATGATTCATGGCTATATGCTAGAAGAAAAGGCATTGGCTAGGTGTCAGAAATTAACCAATATTCTCAACTATTAAAATCACAAGAATTCCATAGAATTACTTAAGGGTCTAGGGAAAAAAAAATAAAACAAAACAACAAACAAAAACAAACAAAACAAACAAGCCACAAAACAAACACATTCACAGCTTAATACGCTGAATACAAACTCCAAGAGCAGCTTCTCTAGAGATACAGAGGAAAAAATACTCTTAAAATGAAAAACGATTGTGATATGCGCATTTCTCTCTTCTTACCATGTATAGCAGCAATTTGAGGTATATTGTGTGCAATTTGCCAATGATCAACCATAATGACATTCATTGCTCTAGGACTCAATGCCCTTTGGGAAACCTCTCTAATTTCTCTATTAGAGTCTACTTTTTCTTACTCAGACCTCCCCCATTTTACTGATAAGGTCTACATTTTCTTACCCAGAAAGATACACAGGATAGTCTGAACCCTGGTTATCCTATTCTAGCACTTCCCAAGAAATATTAAGTATGATAAAACAGCATTTCTAATGAAAGTTATACGAAGGTCTTCCTGAACTTTCTCAGGAAATTACAGAGGAATCATCCTAATTGCTTCTACTGGCGCAACTCCTCATTCACTCACTCACCCACTGAAATCAGTGCCCCAGGCTTCAATTCAGTGTAGCTTTGTTAAGATGGTGGGTATGAAAGGATTGATTTTTTCTGATTATGTGCCCTCCTACAAATACTTCAGTCATTGCTAATAGTTAAATGGAAGCAGAAGCAGCACATACAGCCACTGAAAGGCAACAACCTGTGGTTTGAATTCTATTTTTTTCCTTCAAAACATCAAACTGAAACTCAGCATTCACCATCTTCCCATTTCACGAATGGACTCAATCACTAAAATCCAAATTATAAATTCTAATTCAGATTTTCTGACACTTAAACATCAAAATGCATCAGGTGTGTATCTGACTTAGACCTCTACAATCTCACCTTCTTCTGAAGAACATTAACTTTGCGTTCCTTCACCTCTAACATGTCCTTGAGGTCATGGATCTCTCCTGCTTGAGTCCCCTTCTCCTCTGCCATCTCCTGAATCTGCTTTGTCTTCTTGTTGAGCATAGTCTCCTTCTCTTCCAGTCGTAATCGCAATGCATCCACCTAGATTCAGACATGCAGAAACATGGTTTGTTTAGCACTGAAGGAGAGAAATTTTAGAAAAGTTACAAAATCTACATCCACAAGGGAGTGAGTGCTGTCAAATTACAATACCATCCAGAAAACTAACCTCCCTTTAAGACTTCAACATACGTAAGCTTATGGATGAAACAGTTATGGCGAGTGGCAAGAGACTAAACGGTAAAAATAAGCAAGTGTTTTATTCCCAAAATACATGAGGCTAATGCTCCATGATTCTATGATTCCTTCTTGAAAAAATCTCAAAATACTTCTGGCATAACTCAGTCCTGTAAGACACATGTCTGGATTTTTTTTCCTCAAAGTAGAATCAAATACAATGCGTTGTCGAGGAGTTCTCTCTTATGTAGGAAAACTGACCCCTTTTTTCACAATGTTCAGATATTGAAACATTGGCTCTTAGTACTAAACAGTCACTTTATAGGTTTTAATCATGAGTATTAGCTGAGCCTGGAGGCAATGAAAGCAAAGGTCTTTGCAGCCACTGCGGATCAAAACACAGAAAGAGTGGATATTCTCAGGATAGCTAATATTATTTTGGCTTAAATAGCAACATAATAGTTAAAATATAATATGCATTTTCAGCAGGATTCAATTCAATTCAGACAAAACCGAACAAGTAACACCATACAGGATATTGCAGGTGCAATTTGGACACATAAAAATATTTAGAACTCACACGGCCTCAATAAATTTAGAAACGCAACCTGGGAATTCTATGGCATTCTCAAACTTCAAAACTGTGTGTTGAGAAGACTTTGCTTTTCCTGCTGCATTTCCCTTACACAAATGAAACACAGAGCTCGCGAGACAAAAGAAATGGGAGAAGGAATCAGAGCTATGTGAATATAAATTTGATGAGAAGAATTAGCCCACCACAGAGCACAGACTAATCTCAAAGACCTTCGTGGAATATGAAATCCAACACCACCAACCTGCTCTAGATAACAAAAGAAACCCACTGACCCCTATCCACTCAGCATTCAGACAGAGCTCAAATCTGCAAGCTTGGCTGCTAATCTTATTTGATGGTATCAGATTTGGTTCCTGTTAGCTGAATCCATTACAGGACATCAGTCACACAAAGTAAACAGGGTGATCAATGAATTTATTGGTCCTTCTACACAGCACTGTCTGATAGGCCAGCAGAGCCATGAGGTGAAAAGATGACTTGGACAACTCAGGCTAGGGAAAGAATTTGGGTAGTCAGTATGCTTCCCGTTTTAATGTGTTATTCTAATTCCACTTTATTTTGATTTGCTAATGGAAAAGTTGCCTCTAAGGCTCTACATTTACAGTATGCTACACCTTCAAAATCCTTTGCTCTTTTGTCTGACTCCTCTTACACAGAGCAATAAGCACTTGCCAGTGGGGAAAAGAACTGCCCTGCTCTCCCCATCAGCACTGCACTCTCACTGCCACCTTTACATTTGGAGCCTTCTCACTTACACATACGTTATTAAAATCACATTCCTGACCTTTCACCCAGCAAGTGGGGCATGGAGTATATTTTGCAGTGATATTAGAGTACCAGGTATTACCCAAATATGATTTATAGGATTTCTAGTGTTTGTAATGAAAAGCTTAGCAGGTGCATCACGGCTTGTCTTCTTCTGAAAAACATAGTTTTATAGATTGATTAGGTATGTTCTTCTCTTGATATCTCTAATATTAATGCTAAGAGCCACTTTTATTAATTCTTGAAGGGAAACTGAAAATCTCCCTCACAAGAAAATCCACACGCTCTCAGCAGTTGGGTTGCAAAATATCTGAGACAGTCCAGATGCCTGAAGCACAGTATTAAGTGAAAAGAACATCTGCAAACAGAAATTTATCCACAGAATGCTTTTCATTTTCTGATTGATTATTCTCTTTGAACTCTATATTAACTTATGGTTTGGGGTAAATTGCATTCCTGGTTTTATTTGTGTGAGGTCCCTGCCTAGGAAACCACAGAAAACACTTTCAAGAGTACTTTCAAAGGCTGGCAGGACACACAATCATCACCTTAGCACTATTCCTGGCAGAACACTGCACTTGTTTATTCATGTCAGCTCAGTTTATGTATGGCATCCTCCCACAGTGACAAGAATTGAGGTCTGTGGGAGTCAGGTGATGCCAACTTCAACAAAGTCAGCTTGAGATTCTCTGCACATTGAAACGACTAGGCAAACAGCTACTGAGGTGCTGACGCCCCTTCTCCTGACTTCTGGGTCTTGGATGGTGTTGTCTTAACCCTGGATTAACCTAACTGCTTTCACAGTAATAGACTGCCATGCCTCTAATTATGCATGGCAAGTAAAACCTTACAGTACAGCTCAGTCCTTCATGTAACAGGCTTGCAAACTTGATCTGCACATACCATCCAATTTCCAGTGAAGCTTCAGCAAAATAAGTGCATTTCAATTAAACAGCCAACAGGTACCTCTCTTCAGCTAGGCACCATACCTAAGACTTAAACTTCTTCACTGTAAGAATGATGTATGGAAAACTGTTTGGAACCATTGATCAGTTGTCACAGAACATTCCAGTAGCAGTGAATGATACTCTGTGACTCTGTTCCTAATTATGTATAGCCATATATTAAACAAGTATGATTTCAAATTTCTAAGAAAAACTAGTACATTAGTAGCTCCAATAAGCACCAGAATAAACACAACAAATGACATCATATTTAGCTTAAAAATAAATTTAAATTTAACCCCTTTTCTAAAGTCTTGGGTTCTGTAATTACAGTCTTTTGGAATATTCCCAACTTACAGCTTAGGGAAATCACTAAAGTTTTCAAAAGTCCATAGTCAGTTTCACAATGGAAGCAGGAGCTTGAGTCAATAGGACTTAGGTTGCACACATTTGCCATTTTACCATCATCTCTGCTTTATAGTAGCAATTGGGGGTATCATGACACTGGTGATTCCCACTTGGGTTTAAGAAGATGTCAGTGATGCCTAGAAAAAACTCTTTTCCTGAGACTGAGTGATTCTTCCCATCTACCTGCCACCTGTTCAAACCATTGCTGAACTATTGGTTTAGATCAGTGAACCAAGCCATGCTCCATTCAGTTGTATCAGAAGGTGCAATCTCCCCTATGTTATATACAAGCCCCAGTTTCTCTGTTATGGCAAAAATCTCAATTTTTATGTTGTGTTGATATGACTACATCAATGGCAGCAAAAGGAACAGAGAGAATATTAACTGTGAAATATTTGCTTAGAGCTTGCTATGGCTTCTAAAAAGAGCCAGCTACTTTTAAAAGCAGATATTGAAATAATTCTATGTCAGGACTCAGAATTTAAATATAACTGAGAAATGCACAGAGGAAGGCATAAAATTATATTTGGTATACGAGGTAAAAGTTGCTTTTTTCCAGCTGTAGATACAGTTCAAGAAGGACAGGGACCTGCTGGAGAGAGTTCAGCGCAGGGCAACTAAGATGATTAAGGGAGTGAGGCATCTCCCTTATGAGGAAAGACTGAGGGAGCTGGGTCTCTATAGTTTAGAAAAGAGGAGACTGAGGGGTGACCTTATTAGTGCATATAAATATATAAAGGGGGAGTGTCACGAGGATGGAGCCAGGCTCTACTTGGCAAACAATGATAGGACAAGGGGTAATGGGTACAGAACACAAGAGGTTCCATTGAAATAAACTTCTTCTCAGTGAGGGTGACGGAACACTGGAACAGGCTGCCCAGGGAGGTTGTGGAGTCTCCTTCCCTGGAGACATTCAAAACTGGCCTGGACACATTCCTGTGTAACATTATCTAGGTGTTCCTGCTTCCTAGATGATCTTTTGAGGTCCCTTCCAATCTCTAGCATACTGTGATACTGTGATACTGCCATGTGAAGTCTCCAAGTACCTGAAATGAGCACATTTTAAAAAGGATTAGTTTTGTGATACTCTATTACTATCTTGCAAACATACCATATAAACACAAAAAAGAGTTAACCTGTTTTCCTGATAGCACAGTCTAAAATTAAGACTTAAAAGTTATGTTTATGGATTCATTTTGAATGCAGTGGTAGTTCACGATGCTTTATTCTCTATTTTTGGTGTTGATCTTTCTTATTAATTATGTTAAGAGTTGACTCATAACCTTCTTGTAAAAATTGCTGCAATATCCAGTATGGTCCATTGAAGAGAGTGAATTCTTTATGAACATATAGCTCCTAGTTATCTGGACTACTTAGATTACATGACTATGCCACTGAGAAGAGGTGCACAAACCTGGCTTTCTGCAGAGCCTATTTGGTTCTTGCTAGGGTTATAAACTCAATGCAGGACAGACATACTGCTTCCAGACCCTGCTCAGGTCAGAAATCAGTTCTACTGTTCTTCCACAATCCCTAGCACAAGGTGTTAAATACCTAAACATGGTGAACTCAGTTTTGTGAGCTGAGCTTAATGTTTGCAGGTGTCAGCATAGATCTACATGTAGCTGGTGCTAACAAATCTTCTTAGCACATTCCTCACTAAAGGTGATCCACTCAACTGTCTCAGATTTGGGAGAGCCTGCTATAGTTTCAAAATGCCAGTATAAGCTGCAATAAGGAAAGACCCTTACAGAATTTTATGCTCTCCTGAGACATTAAGAACAAGTAAAATGCTTCCAGGGGACTGGATTCATTTTTGTACCAAGTATTAATCTGAATTTACCATACGAACAGACCAATTACAGAACCATGCCAGCTTGGGCAGTATACAAAAACAAAGGGGAATGCTCTCGCTGATTAATTTAACCTCCCACTGAAGCCACATACCTTCTGGCACTGACCTAAGCTAAAGTTCTCATTGGGCAAAACACAAACTTTATATGGATGAAGTCTTCATTCCAAAATAAATATTGACTTATTTTTTGTTTTGTTTACAAAAGGATTGTACATTTTTAGAGCTATTTTTAAAGGTTTCTTCACAAATTGGAAAGTTAACCACAATATCCTCTCCACCCAATAGCCCTCTAGATAAACACCCCACAAACAGCTCACTGTTCTTTGTAATTCTAGTGTGGCAGGTTGCAAACCGATTTTTGAGCTATTATACCAACACCTTTTCCCCACCGACCTGTGTTTTGTTTAACAGAAGGCTAAAGGGCGGAAGCTTATGAAGGTAATCTCTTTTCTCTCAAAATATTTATTTTAATATGATTTTAAAATACCAATCCTCTATGAAGATGCCTGCCAATATATGGCAGAAATACCTCTCTTCTTCCTCACAACTCTCTGTAGGTGTCTTGAGAGAAGCTAATCATGTTTTAACACTGACCAGTCCTGTCAACAAGCGAGGCCAGACAGAGTCTTACATTCCTACCTTACTCTTAGGGAGAATTCTTCTATAGAGAAATACCATGTCCTTAAAAAAAACCCAAACTCATCATAGGATGCAACAATAAACATCTCAACTCTGTATTTTATCAAAATGTTTCAATCTTATACTTGAGAGGATCAATTGTGAAGAGAGAGGAAAGGTAACTGTATAATGATTTAATTGTTGAGCTTTCTGTCAAGAACATCATTGAGGATGACAAAGAGGTGATTATACTTCAAAAAGTATAAATATCTTCTTGGAATTACATAAACATTCTCAGGAACATAAATGGATCATAAATAGCTAGATAATCAACAGCATTTTGTATGTGTTAAATTCATACCAGATTGCTACATCTTACTGTGGAGTTAATGCTAGGGCTCTCCTAAGACATCATTCTAAGACACTATTGTTAATATATTCACTCCACAGCAAATTCTCACTCAAAGACAGACAGAAAATCATCTTTCACTGTTACTGCAGTTGCTAGATTTTGCTTACGATATCTGAAAGCAAACTATATGAATAACCCAAAACCAGTAAGTATTAAATCTAGTGTTTGTCCCACTCCCACCTTCCAGCCACTTAATGAACCCAATTTGGTTTTGTATTGTGGCTCTATATGAGACTCTCATTCGGAAGAACACAGTGAAGAACAAATATCCTCAACGATTTAGTAATATTACAAGCTAGACAGTAGGAGAATAATGGCTTTCAGCTAAAATAAAATCGAAACGTTCTGAATAATTATCAAAGGTATCTCTCAATGGTATACAGCCAAGTCTTTTTGTCTTTCAATATTTTGTTTCAATTCCATACATTTTATTTCAATAAACATGCTCACCTACCACAACAGCTGAAATTATGGCCATCTACTGAAGTCTTTTAACTTCGTAATAAAGTACATTATTTCAAGAACTTTATCTCTCATGGGTAGAAAAGTACAGCTTTTTATTATTTAAAAGTAAAAAGAGAAAAGTGTTTCTAGATTCATAGAAGCCACAGAGTGATTTAATCTATCTGTATTCTTTTCAATCTTTTAAATCACTGTAATAAATCAAAACATGTAATTTATATTCTTAAATGTTTATTTACCTAACACCTACTTCCAATGATATTTTGAAATGTAAATATCTTTGAAAATTAACATGTACAATTCCTGACTAGCAAAAAAGAAAACAGATTTAACAAGTTTCTGATTGCAGCCAAGCACACTTTCACAGTTATACAGACTAATGCCATTTAAACCTTTACATAAATCTGAGAATAATCAGAAAAGCCATCTCAGAATTACCAGAAGACATTTACTATGTAATTTGACTTCTGCATCTGGACAAGGCCATGTGCACCCCCAGATTCAATGAATATGGCTAAAGGAAAGCTACATGAGGGTAAAAGTTCAAATACATTCTCTTACACTTTTGTAATATGGAATCTTTCTAGCAGTGTTACCCACAATTTTTCAGTATGCTCATTTAACATCTCCTTTGGCTTTTTACTGTTCTTGCTGTAACAACACAAATATTTTTTGATGCATGACCGCCATCTTTTGGACTTCTACTAATACTACAATTTTCCAAGCCAGTAGATTGAAATGCTGTCTTCACACATTTCATGCTTGTTCCTCAGCAATATTCAGAAGCAACAAATTTATGCTGTACTTATTATCTATTTGATGTTCATATATACACTTACATCTTACATTATTAAGCATTTGTTATCGAAACACAGTTTTGAAAATGCTTATTTTTTACCTTAGAATATGCATCATAAAACACAAAAGCCCCTATTTCAGGTGTAAGCACAGGCCTATGTGCAAGATTTCCCATACATGATGACTGTAGTAGTGAAGCCTTAGGGAGTTGTATGCTACTGGAACGCTCTTCCTTTCCCTGCTCTCTTTTAGCTATGTTATTGAAAATAAATCCCCCCAGCTCAAGCATTTCAACTTCCAATTTAGCTGTGCCTAGGAAAAGCTGTATTAGTGACTGCATGTTAGTGGAACATGTCATACAAGTGTGTATTCAATCACAGGAATATATGCGCTTTTGCATAAATCCCCTGGCCTAGAGAATCTAAAAATAAAATCAAAGGTACAACGTGCTCAGAACAAGCATTACTGAGTGGCTATGGGATTGCATAACCTAAGCAAGAAGTAACGAAACAATGCTTTTTATCTGTTTCTCTATAAAAGTCATTAAGTGCAGAATTGCCCATTTCACCTCTGTCTGCAGGATGGCAGCTCTTTGCTCTTTAGCTGTGAGGGACTCTTTCAGTACTTCAATATGCTGCTTGCTGTCAGAAAACTGATTTGTGAGGGTCTCCAGCTTTGTCTGCAAGGCCAGCAACTCGGTGTCTTTGCGTGACAGCTCCTGTTTCACCTGACCAATCTGAAAGAAAAGATGGGCAAAGGAAAAAATAATTTATACCTTCCTTAAGAAATAACTATAAATCCACATAACTACTAACAAAGAGTATGATACTCTAAACTTATCACATGGAATTGCGGAGCCTTCAATTATCTTGAATGAAAGGCCAGCAAAAATTTGTGTCATCACCAAAAGATGCAAGGAAAAGAAGAGGGGATCAAAAGCATCCATTTTTCAAGACAGGTTCTTTTAACAGAGACAGTCTGTTCTTAGATATCTTTCAAAGGACTGACCAAAACAACTTACTTAGCAGGGGTAAGTTATTAATGAAGATGAAGCAGAACTGTAGTAAGAAAAATACCCTTACCCTGTGAAATCAGAACAGATGAGATACCTACAGGTCTCTCTCAGAAGCATGTTTGCTTTGAAATGTCAAGCCAGCAAGTTTCTGTCCCTCTCTCCATCTAATAATCCAGCCTCATGCTTATAGTGTATGCAAAGACATTTACGTCTCCCATTATTAAAAAACTAGCATTTCAAACTTCTACAAATAACTTTTAATTTATGGAAGCTTCTTAAAGCAGACGCAAATACACACCCAAGCATGAAAACTCTTTGTGGAATTGCACTTTATTGAGGGCAATTTCCTAGATTTAATTTAGTGAATACCAAAATGCTGATTTAACATATATAAGTTGGATTATTGTTTAAAAAGACATGCGGTAAGAAATCTAAAAGTAAAGCACTGAAATGAGATGAAATCTCATCCTGAGTCCCAGCATCAGCCAGGACAATTTTGATGTAAATCTGAAGGAAAAAAAAAAATATATATATAAAAAATTAAAGAGGACTGGGAAATCTAAATGTAGACCTATGTCCACATTTATAACCAACTTCCTGGTTTGCCTCCGATGTACCTCATTGATTAAAATAGCGATCTCTTTACTTTTACATATTGTATAGCAGAGGTGGACGTATCTCTAAAATGAAACAGTTTTCCCTTTTTTAGCTTGCACAATTTTCTTCAACACCCCTCTACCCCCGAAGTATGTTGTCCAGTGTTTCAAAAAAGAAATTAAAGGACACCTGTCCAGGGCTACCTCCATTTGGGGAATGTGTCAAGAACAAAATTAAATTGATACAACCTATATATTTTTTTTTTTTTTATTAAACACATGTATTAGTAGAAATGACTAAGAGGAAAAGCTTGGATAAGTGTGGTTTTATCTTTACAACACTGTTTCAATAAAGGGCAATTAAAGAAAGAAAAATTTTTACTGAACAGTATTAAAATAGCATCAAAAGATGTCATCAAGGACTCCTGTGTTCCAGTGTGAAAGAGCATACATGAGGAGACAAGATAGAAGGAGAGCAGAAGAAGGACATTTGTCTCAAAAAAAAAACTCACACAAACCATTTTTTAAAAAATGGAATAATGGGAAGGAGTATAAGAAGAATCTGATTTATAGAACTATTCAGTAGTTTATTGTTCACTTAGTTCAAACATACTAGGTCGTGTTTTTCATATTTTTATCTTTCAAAGTATATACGTCCACAGAATGATTTCACCACCTATTTAAGATAGACACAAAAATATTGATGCTAGGACCACTATTTCTGCTGTCAGCTACTGGCCAATACAACCCATTGCACAGTCCTGCTAGGCACAGGAGAATAGCTAGGAAGAGATGAACTATTTTCTGCTAGTTACATTATAGACTAGTCATGATACTTCTGGAGTAGCTAAACAAAAAAACCATCCTTAAAAAACTTCAGATGGTGAAGTTTTTCAACTAGTAGATACCCTGAATTATAGTAAAGCTTTCTTGAACCAGTTTGGTCTTTCTTTGAAAAGATAAATCCTTTTTGGAGTCATCTCAGACAAGATGTTTACCCTAAATACTTCTGTTTTGGTGAAACACTATTATTTAAACACAAACATATTTTGTTACATAAAAATTTCCCAGTAGCACCCTAAGATCATTCTCTCCAGAAATCCCCATTTCAGGGCTGTAAGCCCACACTGCCAACGTGCTTAAGTTCTTTAGGAAGAATGCAGCGCATACCATTCCAAGTTGCAAGAGAAGTTAAGACAGCATTAAGTGCTCATACTTCTCGGTGAGACACTATGATCACTCAGCAAATGCATTAATTTCACAGCAAAGAAATAACCTAAGTTCATGTTGCTAAAATTAAACTATCATTTTTAAAAGCGTTCAGCATCCAGCTTTTGTTACTTTTTTGTGAAAAAAACATTAAGAGATTTCAGCACATTTTTAAATTATTTTTGTTCTAGTAGGGAAAGCAAATCTCTTTGGAAGTCTGGCCCCAGAATGGGTGCTGAATACTTTTGAAAAGAGTAAGTTATTGCTAAAACAGCTCATACCGTTAAGGAAACAGTTAACAAAACAAATACAGATGTTCAGCTGAAGAGTGATGTTATGGACACCAAAACCATGTGAACAAAAAGGCAGGCTACAAGGCTGAGCAGGCTGTTAGTTCTACTGTTATACCAAGTCATAAAGAAGGTAAGAGAAGAAAAGCTACCCCAAAGCCAGAGAGCTAGCAAGCCCCAGTGAATGGCCACTGCACACAAAAGATAAATCTTACTGCAGAGACCTCGGCCTGGAGACCAGCCACTCTTTTTTTCAGGTCCTCCCCTTGAGCCTCTTTGGCACTTAGCTCTTCCTTCAGTTGCTCTACCTGTCACGACATTGTTATGCTTTTAAATATTCATCATCTGTCAGCTTCTAGTTAGCCTGTGTCAACCCAAGTAACTAAAAGTGACAAAGAACTGAACAGAAGGATCAACACTGGTTACTCATTTTCTCTTCCATTCTTCATTTAGTCTTCTCAAAAGTTTAATGTCTCTGTAATTTCATACAGGCTGCCAGACAAGAACTTGATTACGAAACAAAGATGTATAGTTATCATTATGTTTATATATGTCAAGTATGGGGCACTTCACCCAATGCTTTTGAAACTGGAATACACAAGGAACTTCAGACAAGAAAAGGGACTTAAGAGAAACGAAGTTAATTGTCCAGATACAGCCACAGACGACTATACAATACAATACTTAAAAAACAGATGTTGTGCAATTACAAAACAACGTAGGACAGCAAGATATGACTGCAGCTGGCTGTGAGTCAGGAATGAATAGTTATCAAAAAGGAGCAAATTTTCTGTTGGAAAATAAATGAGCAGACAGTTGACAGAAGAGATCCAGGAATGGAGCAGCTGAACAGAACTGTACACCCACAGAGGAAGGGAAGAAGAAGTTGAAGAGTTACTAACAAGGGAAGAAAGAAAGGAGAAAGAATGAAGAAAGAAAGAAGAAAGGATGGAAAGGAGAGGTGCTAAAATTGTCTCTGCGTGCATAATTTGAAGGGGGTATGCTTCAATTCCTACAAGCAACTAAGTGGGATAAAGGGCGAAAGTATAAAAGAACAGATGTTATCTTGAGATAAATCAGTGAGCTGGCACAAGGGAAGTGGAAGAAAAATACTTATTACATGTTTCTACTTTAAGACAAGTAACACTTCTTGAAGAAACTTTCTCCAGCATTCTTTTTTTGACAAATAATTTCAAGCAGGACAAATGCAGTAGCTTACAGTTCTTCAGTTCCTAGTAATTTTCAGCCTGTGATCCAGGCATTTGTACACTGCTTGCAGGGAGCACACAAAACCTAATTGAGAAAAGCAAGACTGCTCACAATATACTTAAATTTACTGTACAAGGTGGCCTGAATCTTCATTAGAAAATGTTAGGGTCTACTAAAAGACTGAGAAACACTTCTCTGGGAGAAACAAAGAATGAATTCACTTTTGGCTGTAAATGTCAAAGTAGTCAGTGTCCATCTTTATACCTGATAAACAACATTTCTCGCTACTGAATTTGTCCTGCATAAATTAATGCTGGCACTACCACTGTTATAGAATTCTGGTTCCATTACTGGAAGGAGAGTGTAACGGAAAGCCATTATAGTGACAGTCATGCTCCTTTCAGCCTTTACATAATAAAAAGACCTACTGGTTATAGTATAACAGTTGCAAAAAGAAATAATTTGTTTCAGAAGGCTACACTTGAACAGACCAAACGAAAGCTAAAATTATAATGGATTAGCAATGTTCTAAAGATACTCAAAACACAAAAATCCTTCTGAAATAAAAGAAAATCAGGTGTGACAGTTAAAGCAGAATTTGTGCCACTGGCCATTCTGAACCACCATTACAATATTTTCAAATTTGAACTTAAAATTCTCTTAAATATTTTTAAGTTATTTTAGTGACTTCAAGGCAGAATACAAATAAATTCTGCTTCTCAGGACTTGAATGGGAACCCAGACTGTAACTCCTTATTGAAGTATGAAAATTTCTCTCCGCTGGTTGCTAAGCTCAGCTTATCTCACCAGTCTCATTTGCTTTCTCAGTACCTTATTTTTCATGAATTTGGAATGACTACGGTACACCTCCATTTGCTTCATTTCCTCTTCACGTTCTTCTGTGCTCAGAGCTCCATTTGACTTCAACATCTGAATCTCCTCTTCCAAATCACGGAGGCCACGCTCCATGGAAGAAATTTTTGAATCCTGAAAATGGTTAGAAGAGAGAGATAAAGATACACAGTCAGATGATTTGTTAACATACCACTGGAGTAAAAAATAAAGGAAATAGTTTGTTGAACATGTACCTACCTGCCCTTGAAATTTACTCCTGAAGTTCCTAAAGAAATCAGCCTACACCTCTTTACACAGCATCTGCCTGAGTGCTCAGGTACTCATTTTTCAGTATTTTATACCTTCCAAGGGAAGCAAGAGTTTAGTACTGAAAGAAAACATGGCTAGGGGCATGGACTCAGTATATAATAAATAAATAAACAGGAGGAAAGGTTGCCTTGTAATGCAAAGCCAATATAAACCAGAGAAATTTAATTCTAATTGAATTAACAGTCACAGCAAAATGTGACTGCAAGAATGACAAAAAATGGGTTTGTGCTATTAGTGATTAAAGTGGCATCACAAATTGAGGACATAAAAAGCACCATAAGCAAAAAAAAGGATGGGATAATCTAGTTTTGGGTGGACAATTAGCTTTGAGTGGATAAAGCAGTAGAGGATCCTTCAAGTATTCTGGCTCATGTATACAACATATAAAAAATTTCCATGGATAAAAAAAAAATACATCTGGAAAAATAAAAAAGTCAATCTACCATTATCCTCATAGTTTTACAGAACGATCAGAGGTTTTCAATCTACTTGGTTTATGCATCTTTAGAAGTTTTATGTGTTAGGAACAACAAGAACAGGCTCAAGCAGCACAAAGAGCTTCATACATGCTCATAAACATAGATATGTATTTCTAAGTTGTAGTCTCTTCAAGCAGAGTATTTCTTTATTTAATTTCTCAAAAATATTTAGTCTTTCCTGAAATATAGGTAGGATTTGAAACTATGCTTCATTCTTTTGCAGCCCAAGCCTTCATTTTTTTTGTATTGAATAATCAAAGCACAGCTGAAAAGAAACAAAAGCCTGAAAAGATTTTAATGTATAGGTTTTCACTCATGAGGTAAGATTTTTCTAAAGGACCATCATGAAGATATAGTCAGATCTCCCGCTTAAGTTTTGATGCTTAAGTTAAAATTAGTAAAGCAGGCTTATGCAACAAAAAACTAGAGAGGTGGTAAGGTGAAGCATTATGTTCTAATATACAGCAGTATTTCGTTTCAGCGCTCACATCACTTCTCAGAAGTAACAAGTGTTTCTCTTTTGATAGTAAAGACAGCTTATTGTTACCAGATGGTCAATTAGTTTTCATTACTATGGACCACAAAGCTGACTAATAAAAGAAAAAGGGCAAATGAATGCCTCCAGGGTAGAAAGATGGGAAATGACTATGGAAAACATTGAGATGGAATGGAAAGAGTTGGAAGGGAAAAAAAGGAAGGAAAATAAAAGAAAAAGACATAGATAAAGGAGGGAGATAGGGGAGATATGAAAATGGAAGAGAATAGTTTGCAAAGATAGTTTCTATTTTTTTAACTGTATTTGCCCAAACCCTGTCTGAGGTACTTTATGGACCATACAGTATGAATCACAATTGCATAAAGCTGTGTAAACCACAGACTCCACTTGTGGCTTCGGAGCTCTTGGCAAATTCCCATTGTTCCATTAGATACCTGAGAATGCAATCACAAAGATGTCTAGAAAAGTTAAGTTTAGGATGACATAAAGACATCTTCCTAGCTACATGACCCATTTTAAGTGGGTTTTCAGTTTGCAAATGGCTAATTTTGTTGACACACAGAATGCAAAGCAGTATTTTGAACGCTGACATTATAAAAAGAAAGTAACCTACAACATTATAAAGACCTATTAATCCATCATTTCCAACCTTGTAATACAATGGACTCCTGCCTAACTGAAATAAAACTGTATATGCTGCTGCAGGCAGACAGAAGGCAGGTTTCTATTGCGTCATGAAGCAGCTCTGTCTCTTCACTCATCAATAATAAAAATAATAGATAATAAAACAGTATTAAAATATACTTGTTTTAAGTTAGAAGACTGACAGAACTAGATGGTATTTGGTAGAGTCACCTTTCATACGAAAAACCTGTTTTTCAGAGAACAAACTCTACTGCATGCAATTATTTACCTTCATCTCAATAACAGTTTGCAGAGCCTTTGTCTTGGCTGTGTCAGGAGCATTTTCAAATCGACGATGAATTTCCTGTATCAGCAGAAAAGAAAGCAAGAATTAGCCTAATGGTAATTTGTCCCACGTACCAAACACAAAATTATCATCAGCTTCTCTTTCTAATACGTAGCTGTGCTACGTATTAGAAAGAAAAAAAAAAGGAAAAAAAACAACAACAACAAAAAAACAAACCTGTTTTCCCTAACTTCAAAATTCATGTAGCTGAAAACAGAACAATTCTGAAGATGATTCTTTAAGCTTAAAAAGGTGAAGAAAGATCCAAGAGTGAAAAGTATCCTATTCTGAAGTGCCTGAGCTTCTGCTAAATGCAGTAAGTTTTATGCCCAGCTGTACCTGTCACATCAGTTGTACAGCCATCCAAGACTGTTATTGTAGGATAAAATGAAACTGCTTGATAAAAGAAATTAAAACAAATTCTTGTTAACTTTTAGAAACTGAATAAACAAAAGATACAAAGGTCAAAAAATAACATGCCAAAAGTCTATTTTGAATAACGTATTTATAGAACCATAGAATCTTCTAGGTTGGAAAAGACCCTTTCTTTTAGTAGTTCAATTACGTATTAGATAATTTTCACTTGTGCAGACATGGTCTCTGACCTGAGAACATAAAAGCAATTGCTACTAGAGAAATGGAATAAATGGAATACACAGCAGGAGAACAGCATGTCACTAAAGAGATGCTGACACAACAGTGTCTGCTTTTTACATTGCACAGTGTTTTCCCAAATAGAAAATTATTCTAAGCTTTTTCTTTGGAAGTGCCTGTAGCCCCACTGTCTGAAGTGATGCCTGGCACTTCGACAAAGGAAATGTCCTACTTCTATCATCTTAACTAATTCCATTGTGATTTGGATGACATAACCTGCTAAAAACAACACCTCCCACCTCTTGGCTGCGCAGTAAGGACTTAATTTTGGCAACATGCCTAGGATTCTAAACAGCCTAAAACCAGGGCTACTGGCAGACTGAACCTTGCTAAAACACATATTTAGGTGTGGCTGCTGAATGCAGTGCATAGATATCCTTCTTAATTGTGAAATACAGGTTACATATTTATCTTTCAGTGGCAGAATGGAGAAATACCAGTATGTCATACCTCTTATATATTCGTATTATATCGAGAACACACACCACACAGGTGAATGAAAATTCAGAACTTTGCACAATAATTAAAAATGTAGGGCCACACACAAATATCAGAATCAGAAAAATACAAAAATATTCTTTCATTCCTTGCAAGTCAGGCTTTCTGATAAAGCAACAAAGCATTATTCCTTTCTTCTGCTTTCACACATAAAAAACTTTCACATGTAACTGATACTGTTCTGTAACAGATTAGTAAACTTCAGCATCTTTTTACCTTTAAATGCAACTGACACTATTTTAACAAGGGTGGCTCAAATATATATATAGTGTTTTAATGATATGTTCAGTAATACCTTTACTTCAAAAAAAAGAGAAAAAAAAGGGAAAAAAAGTACTTGCTCCCCAGTTATGTGCATCATGCATGCTTTTCACTGGTAATTATCATTACTATTAAAAATACACGATATTTGTTTCTCAGTTTAGCCAGTGGGAACTTCTAGCCACCAGATATCATCACAACATTGTCAAGAATATTGAAAAATGCTCTATAATCCCTTTTTTGTTCCCAGTTTGATGCTTTAATACCCCACTATTACAAGCTAGTAGTTTCTACAATTCTTTGACATGAACAAGAAAAGCTGCAGGTGGAGGGACACCTAGCTACCCATTTGGCACTAGTGTTTCCACTACAGTTATACTGTGCCCTCTCTGTCTACAGTTTCAAAATGATATTGATATACTGAAGAGAGTTCAAAGAATGACTGCAGGAGCATAATCTGGGGTGGAGAAAGGAGGAACCAAAACAAATTTATTGTGCAAATTGATCACAACTTTAAAGTACTTTCACAGGCAACAAAACCTGAAAATGGGTCGTTCTGTCCAAAAATACTTTTAAGATTCAGTAACTAGAAACTGAAGGCTAGAAACAGTCAGAAGTTTTAAACAATGGGGCCACCTTAACCAGAGTGGGAGTTGATACTTCACCACTATCAATTTGTAACCAAGAATAGCTATCTTCCTTTAAAAACAAAACACGACAAAACCCTACTTCAAAACCAGATATAAACTAAAGGTATGAATCATATTACACCTGCCAAGTAGCTCTGCAAGGGACCACAGTACCTCTGTGAGAAACAACACTGTAATTTTCTAGTCAGCATAACTACACAGAACAGGTGATAAAACATACTAAGAACACTGAATATGTAAAGAATAGCTGTGATAGAATGATTCTAATACACCATAAATAAGAACAAATTCTGTGGGGATTTTTCTTGACTAAGGAACACCAAAAGAATTGAAAATGATACAACATAGTTTAGAATTGAGGGAGTCCTCAATATTTATCAGTATCAGCACTATTGCTTAAAAATATTAATAAATTATACACATACATAATAATGAGGGGAGGAATTTAATCAGAAACATTTTCTTCCTTCATAACCTGGCCATATTATTAATTGTTATTCCCACAGTTATTCCTGCCTTCGATTTTGCATGGGATTTAGAATAAATGTGAAGGTACACTTTTTAAGCAATGGTGTTTTTACAGTTGAGTAGTGTGCTTAAAAATACAGCAACTTATCTCTCAGTAGCACCACAAGATAAGCACTTTCCAAAGCAAAAACAGACATGCCTTCCATTTCCTGCAAAACCTACATAATGAGGAAGCACGTGCCACACTGAAAATAGAAAAATATGCTCTCATACATTAATTTCTTAACAAAAAAAAAAAAGAAAAAAAAAGAGAGAGACAAAAAAATATGTGCAACTAAAACCAGAGCTGTAATCCTGATTTTTTTTTTTTTTTATCTTAACTGGCATACCTATTTAACTGCAACAAAATGTAAATCTTACAAGCAAAGTAAAATTTCACAAGCATCCTTCAGTTCAGTGTTAACTCTCGTTATTAATTTTAGGAATTATTTAATAAATCTATAAGATCAATTTAATTTTTAATTCTGGTTAAGGACAAATCATCTCTGACTAACCTGATTTTCTTTTACAGTGAAGTAAATGACTGTGGTCAAATGGTGAACAGTGGGTGCTGCATGTCCTTCATCATAGCTTTCAAACAACCCCGAGACCAAACTGGTGAGATACAGACTGAATGAGTGGTTAAAAGGTGGGTGGACAATTAGCTGGACTGTCAGGCTCAAAGCCTGGTGATCAGCATTATGAAGTCCAACGTGCAGCTGCTTGCTACTGACAACCCTCAGAGGCTGATACAGTGGCTAATATTGTTCAGTGCCCTATCACAGAACATAGAATAGTTAGGGTTGGAAAGGACCTTAAGATCATCAGGTTCCAACCCCCCCGCCATGGGCAGGGACACCTCACACTAAACCATCTCACCCAACGTTCTGTACAACCTGGCCTTGAGCACTGCCAGGGATGGAACATTCACAATTTCCTTGGGCAACCCATTCCAGTGCCTCACCACCCTTACAGTAAAGAACTTCCTCCTTATATCCAATCTAAACTTCCCCTGTTTAAGTTTTTACCTGTTACCCATTGTCCTGTCACTGCAGTCCCTAATGAAGAGTCCCTCCCCAGCATCCTTATAGGCCTCCTTCAGATACTGGAAGGCTGCTATGAGGTCTCCACACAGCCTTCTCTTCAGACTCAACAGCCCCAACTTTCTCAGCCTGTCTTCACATGGGAGGTGCTCCAGTCCCCTGATCATCCTCATGGCCCTCCTCTGAACTTGTTCCAACAGTTCCATGTCCTTTTTATGTTGAGGACACCAGAATTGTACACAATACTCCAAGTGAGCCGTTAATGATCTGAAAGATGGGACAGGTGGCACCTTCTGCAAGTTTTCAGATTACATGAAATTTGGGGAAGACATGATTTGGGAATAAGCAGTGTGCCCTTGCTGCTGTTAAAAAAAAACAAACAAAAAAAACCCAAGAAAAAACAGTGGAAGAGCAGAGGATGAGAGAACTGAGTTTCTTCAGTTGAACAGAAAAGAAGGCTTGGGGGGATTCTCAATGCCCTCTGCGGCTATCTGACTGGAAGCTGTAGAGATGACAGAGACAAAAAGTCTTTTCAGAAGTGCACAGCAGAAGGATGATGGGCACCAGGCAAAAGCTGCAGCACAGAAAATTCTGAATCGCTAATACAGAAAAGATTTTACCAGAGAGCAACCAAACACTGGACCAGGTGCCTAAAGAGGTTGTGAAATCCCCATTAATTGAAATTGCTGATTTGAACAGAAGGTTGTATGAGATGACCACTGGGAGAGCCCTTCAAAACGTGTGACTCATTTATATAAATACCTTCACTACCTGGGACCTGAAGGTGACTGGGTAGTACTTCTTAGCTTCAGCATTTTAACCAGTATTTATCAGAAAGTGCTCAATACGAGTAACTTTAAATTCTATTTCAGAAACACATAAAACTGAACTTAAAATTTATGTATAATATGAGTCCTGTATAATTTATCTCACCATTATTAGAGTTTTGCTATGTAACAAAAACACAGTTACACAAGTTTGGAGCCAATAATCACAGTAGCTCCTTCAGAAATTATTTCTGTATTTTTCTATTTGTCATTTTCTGCATTTGCAAACACAATCAACATAATTTCTTGAAAAATAAATTGATTATATTAATAAAGAGCAAAACTTGGAAAGATTTGCTGAAAATTGCACACACATGCAGTGTACCAGCTGCTCTAAAGCTCAGTTATCCCTGGGTAGAGAAATTCATCTCCACGGTTTGCAATTTTATGGATACATTCAGACAGTGATTTCTAAATCCAACCAAAACCTCACATATTAGCAGAGTTAAGTTTGTTAACAGAGGCATCATCTAAAGTGAAAATTAAAACCCAGCTCCCAGTTCACCTCAGTATTCCAATCAGCAAAAGATAAAAGCAAAATCCCTCAAAACTTCAGCATTAGAGTCAAGGCAAGATAA